CTAACTGAGGCCTTTGAAGATTAAAAAGATAGGCGGTTCTATGTGTGATCCATGTAGGGACACAACGTTGGAGATATCTAGCAAGTATCTCCTGACCAGGGAATTCGAGCATTGACATGCTAATATTCAATAATATGCTTTTTATGACAGACATTGCATGATTCCCGTGTCCTTTGACCCATATAAGGCTAATGTTCGAATGTTATTATGTAGATGTTATTATATTATCATGAGCAAATCTGGCACATATTTTATTTTCCTGTTTTTTTTGTGCATCACTGTAAATGTAAAGTTATTTTTGCTTTCATTTGATATGGCGCTTTTTATTTTTCTTTTGTAATTTTGTAAAGTTTGTTTTTATTGCATACATAAGCAATTTAACATTTCCGTTTCCGTTCAAGACATTACATTTCCTTAGGAAACGAACACATTATTGGAACAGAATAACAACAATCAAAAGACGAAAATGTATTCGCAAAATAAGAAAACTTTCTTACTTTCTGCACTCTCTTTTTCCTGTTATACAAATCGCATCAATTTAACCGTTTAAACACGCACATATGTGTTTGCCATAAATATAAATACGAACATACAATCTCCTTTATAATAAATGTATTTTTCTATACGTAAGCCAGAATGTGTGAGTGCATATAAGTAAATATATGTAGTACATACATACATATGTATGTATGTGGTATATGAATTTATATCATGTTTCATTCATGCTTATATTATTATAATCCGTTTATACCATAAATACATACAAAACATAAGTCTAACTAAATTTGGATCCTTTTTTGTTTTTTCTGAATTAATTAAATTTAATTAAAGATTATTTTTGCAATACTCCCATGTATGTATGTTTGTATATTTTAAGGAAAACGTGTCTGTGCTGCATAAGAAGTCTCTATTCTATATGATTTTTGCATGAGGGTAGAAATTTCAATGTCTTTTATTAATTTTGTTCTAACAAAAATATTATTAAGCTCATAATTACCACAATTTAATGCTGTTATTTATATTAAGAATGTGCAAATGACTTAAATAATGCAGAAATCAATTTGTTGTAATTAGTTATATTGTGTATGAATCATAAATAATTGATATTAATTTTTACTACACAATCAAACTAATAAGACATTAAATGTGCCCAGTAAAAACTATGTAAGGGGTTTAAATGCTAAAATTTACTTACACAATAGCATTTTAAGTCATTATTTTAACACGGTGATGTCACTGGAGGCAAGTACTTACCACAAAAGGTTACATGTAATTAGAAAAGGTAGTACGATTTACAAAATCGCATGAAAAAACGCATACAGCTTTTATATCTTTACTTTATAACACATTGTTAGTAAGAACTTATTAGACTACTTCTATGTAATCCAGACGATATGTAGTAGCCATTGAAAAGTATGTTGTTAGGTAAGTAATTACAATTGAAAGCCATTACTTAGTTTTTGCTGGGTGAACTTTCTGTGGTTAACTTTATGTACTTATGAATGTATTCCGAAAATATGCATACATACATACATATTTCTCTAATTTGCACTTAATAACTAACACATATTTATATAAATATAAATAGATGCCAACAAATGACTAATTTCGATGTCAAAATTTTTTTTAATTTTTAGATTTTACAGGAAACCAAAAATCGGAATTAGGAAAAAACGAGTAATTACAATCTTTATAACACGATATCTGAAAAAGCTGATGTTGATTTGAATGAAATTTGCATCAAGGTTAGTACTATTGGATAGTAGGCCAGACTCAAATTTTGATCTGTATCGGTCAAGAACTGCCGGATCAAAGTTGGACATTTTAGTCATACAGGGTTTTATTTAAAAGAGTTTAACTTTTCACCTATTGGTCCTAGTAAAAATTGATAGCTATTTCTTCATTGTTTCCAAAAACCGTTTGAGTAAATTTTATTGAGGATTATTATGTATTCATTTCAACGAATTATATTAAATTCATCTGTGTTGAAATGTAAAAATCTGAAAATTTCCCGAAAAATTGGAAAATTTCGATTACTTTTGCTGATATGGAATTTAAAGCGTCTCTCAAGGACCTTTCCAATGATACCAATATTTCATATCTTTCCTTTGGAAGATATATGAAAAAAATCAAAAAAAACTCAAAAAAGGACCTTTTTATACTTTGATCCAGCTCACCAAATATTGACGCCAAGACAAAAATTTTTAAAATGGTATATTAGAATCAATTAAACTTTAATTTTAGTTGGGAGCATTGAAACCTTATTTTTCCTCCATACAAACGGGGCCACCCTAATGTACACATATTTTGCACACTACAAAAGTCTATTCATAATTCATTTTCAAATTTTGTACAATTTTTTGTATATGATTTTAATTCGTAAAACATAGTAATAACTAACTTTTGAAATGACACAGAAAAACGCCGAAACACATAAACTAAATTTAAGGTCGTAGAATGTAATGTCATTCTCCGTTTTCAAAAGTTAGGACAACGACTTTTGTATATTTGATTGACTTTTCCTCAATCAGCTATTTATATAGATATTTCGCATCATAACACAAGCTAACAAGTTTTTAATACTAAAACCACACAGCATAATCTTTACTTACCCGGTAAGTAGTAAAGTAATATTGGAGCAAAGTGTAAGTACTTACTTTTTGGGTGAATAACTACTTATTTTTGTTCGACAATGACCAAAAAATAAGTGGTTACAAATGTGCTTACTTGACTTTTCCGGATTTAAAACCGGCTTTACAGTTATTTTCTATGTTTATTGCTCTATTATCTTCCTCAATACTCCATTAACAAGTTATTTTATCATTGTATCTGGAATGGTATTTAAACAAAACAAATATTACTTTAAAAAACTTCTAATATCGACTAGGGATAGATCCACTAGCTAATTCCATATCTTATTCAAAAAAAATTAATGTTAGTGATAAAGGCCACTCATTACCAAGTAATATATGAAATAATTACATTACCTACAATACTCATTACCAAAATTTGAAAATATTTTACTGGGCAGAGTATTCGTTTTTACAGCTTACGGCTACCCTAAATCTGACAACAGAATTTTCGAATCACATAACAAAGGCAAAATTAAACGAAAAATTGTTTCTTAAGAAGCTATGCAATTTTTTCAAAAAAAATAATTTCTAAAAAGAAACAAGTAAGGAAGTATAGTCGGGCATGGCCGATCATTTGATACCCTACACAAATAATGATTATATCTTAAATGATTATTTATAATAAAAAAGCATTTCGGATGAATTTTGCCTTAATTTCGATACATTTTTTATTAAATTCTGATTCTCTGAAAATTACTACATATGGGGGCTAGTGTCAAATATGAACCGATCCTAACAAAATTTGGAAAAGGGATTTTGTTGACATAAAATATTGTTGTGCCGAATTTCATCGAAATAAAAGAGTTTATAAGGAAATCAGCGACGTTTAAGCCATTTTCAGAGGTGGGCTGGGGTCCAATAAAGGCCGATCATTATGCAATTTTGCAGTATCATTTATGCTTACATAAAATCTAGTTGTGCCTTTTTTGTAGAGATATTAGTATTTGGCTTAATCTTTAGCTTTAAAGCCCAATTTAGGGGGTCCGGTTGTATGGGGCCCAAGAGAAATAATGAACTGATATCAACCAAAATCAATAAGTTTCATCCTTGGGTCAAAAGTAATACGTGTACCAAATTTCATCATTTGGCTTCAAAATTGTGTCCTGTAGTATGATTACATGGACAGACAGACGGGCGGGCGGACATGGCTTAATCGACTCAGAAAATAATTCTTAGCCGATTGATATACTTTAAGGTGGATACAGGACCATTAATACTATGTGTTATATGGTACTAAATTTTAATTAAAAAATACTAATAAAAGACTAAAAAAAATATTTATCAAAATATTTAGTAAAACATGTACCAATGTAATAAAATCGTTTGATATAGAAAAACTCCACACTTTCTGAAAATATAACATACATATGTAATATTAACCATAACGGAAATATCATCGATTCGAAATGCAGGATACCAAAGTTGCCAAACGGAGAAAATTTCGATTCGAATTGAAACGCAGAATAAGGGTGATTATTCAAACTCTTTTAAAGTAAAAAAACAGTTGTTATTTTTTTCTTCTCATAAGTAAAATTTTCATTATTTAATTTTTGCATTATTGAGCTTGAGCACACATGAATAAAAAAATTATATTTTTATAATTAAAATAATAATTAATAATACAAATGTTTTACAACTTAAAAAAAGAACGCAATTTATAAACATACGAAAATTAAGTTTAATATTATATTTATAAATATAAACTAATTAAAAATTATTAACAACAATTAATATTAAAATGTAATAATGAATTAAAATTAAAAGAAGCTAGAATTTAAAAGAAAGGAAAACTTATATATTTTTGTTTTAACAGAAAGATGAAGAATAATAAAAATTTAATAAATTAAAGCAAATTTTCATAAATGTTAAGAAGAAGTATAAATAATATCACTTTAATTATAAAAAACAACAAATAAATTTTTTTCTCGACAAAGTAAAAAGTAAACCTAACTTGGCTTTTCTTTAGCATAGTTGGAAGAAAACGATTTGTAAAAGTTTTTTGTTTTATTAAGATTTTAAATAATTTTTATTTATTATTTTTTCATTCGTTTCATTTTGTTTTCGTTTATTGTATTATTTTAATTGTAGTGTTGAAAGGTTGTTTGTTGTCAACTTACATTAAAAGGATTTTTTTTTAATTTGCTTGTTTATGTCAGTATGTTTGAATGTTTGTTTGTATGTGTTACTTATTAATGTTTGTATATAATATTTATATTGTATGTATATATTTCTGTTTTTAAATATTGTTTTTGCAGACTACGTATTTAGTTTTGAGTGAAGTTTGTTTGTCATTTTCCTTTAAAATAAATTACATTTTTGTCCAATTCTATTCAACGTTATGCAAAATATTCAATAGATTTTGTGTTTAATTTTTATTTATAAATATTTTTATTTACTCTTATTTATCAGATTCACTCACATTTGTTTGTTGTGTACGTATTTAAGTGTATTTCTTGTTTTTTTTTTATTAACGGAAGTGTTTTTTTTATTTGTAGTTTAATAATATTAATTGTTATAATAATATACTTTTTATATATTTAATAATATAATTATTTATAATTTACAGTAATTTTGGCCCTATTATCTAATACGTATTTTGAGATTGTGTTTTAATTTTTTTTTAATTAATTTTCATTTTTATTTTTTTGGCTTTTTTTGTTTTAAATTTTCTGTTTATTTGAAAGCCAACCTAACAATTTTATTAGTTTTATTTTTTTTTTTAATTTTTTGTAAATATTTTTGTTGTTGTTTTTATTTAAAGCAATTAGCGTGTACATTTATGTTTTAAATTTATTTATTATTTTATTTGAATTGAATTTAAAAACTACGTTTTTCAGATTTTTTATATTTAAAATTAATTTTTAGTCACTGGCAAACGACATAATTACGTATTTGTTTTATTTTTTTAAATTATTGAAAATTTTCTGCTTTTTAATGATGATTATGTTTTTGTATGTAACATACCCAAATATCTATGATTTTGTTTTATAAAATACCTTTTTTTTTGTTTTTAATGTTTTAAAATAATAATTTCGTTTTATTATTTCAATAAAATGGAAGATTTAAATGTCTAAAGCCATTTGAATTTTGGTAAAAATATTTTAAGGTGAAAAAATAAATCTAATGCGAATTTACCATGATTTCAATCTAATGTTCAACAGAGGATTAAAAAATGAATGACTTATATAAAATGTCAAAATGTAACTTTAGGTTCCGTTATTAAAATTAGCATTTTTCCAAAATTTATGCACCGATTGTAATGTTTTATTTTTGACACTTACCATTTTCAGCTTAAAATGAATCCCTTTTAATTGAATTTGATTTTTAATGAATTTTAAAAAAATTTACAAATAGAACTCCCTTTCTAAGTTGTGAATAAAGTAAAAATTTATGCAAAGTTTTTAATGAAAATCATATAATTTTTTCACTATCAGATATCTTCATTTAATCATGAATGAAATAAAAATTATAGAACGATTTCAAAAAAATATCTTGTTTCATTTGCAATATAGAACAAAAATGTTGATATTTCATTAATTATTAGAATTATTAGAAATTCAATTAATCCATCATCATTTTTGAGTTTTAATAAAATCGATAATGCAACCTCTCTAATTTCCATATAAGGGCTTTTACAAGGACCAATGTCAAAAAAACAAGAAAAATTTACGAATAAATCCCATAGTGCAGAATAACCTCTTCAATGTTGGCACTTTTTATGTTTCAGTTTAAATCCAATTGATATTGTTTAAATAATATTCATCTAAACTAAAAAAACACTCCAAAATTCAAATAGCTTCAAGAGTTTAATACGAACATTTCACCAGCTTGTTTTTAACCTGGACTTCTTTTCTCAATAAAACATTAAACAATAATTATATTTTTTGTAGAATTTACTTTTTTATAATTAAAATAATAAATTCTTAAATTTACTAAAAAATATGGCATAAAAGTTTCAGACGAAATTAAGTTACGTTTTTTTATACAAATTTTCATTTCAACTAAATATTAACAAAAAAGAATAAACAAATTTTGAGATTTTATTATTAATTATTATTAGTAAAGCAAACAAAAACAATTTATTTAAAATTATTGTTTATATAAAAAAAAAAATAAAAATCATCGAAAACTTAAAGAAACAAATTTTAAATTAAAAGAAATACTAAATAAAAGAGTAAAATGAAATGCACTGCATTTCAAATACCAAATACACATAGAGACATTTTAAAAATAATAATTAAAAAACTACTTTTAAAGCAAAAGAATTCAGTACTTTTGTTGCTAAATATTAATTATTTTCTTTTAAATTTTTAACTTAAATTTAAAATATTACATTAAGAAGCAAATTATTTGATTTTAATTGTTTGCTATTTTCGAAATTATTTATTTAAAATAAAATATATATAAATTTGTTTAGACTTATGTAAGTAGTTTTTTTGTTTGTTTGTATGTAGGTGTATGTACTATTATATACTTAATTATTTATTTATATTTGTATATATACGAATAATAGTTAATGTATGTAGAGTAAGTATATGTGTACGTTTATTTTTAAATGTTATATAATTTAAATTTCATTTTCTTTACTCGAATTTTATTTTTTTTATATATTTCTATAAAATGTAAATAATTATTTAATATTAAATTTATTATTTTTTAGTTCAAATATTTATAGAGATTTAAAGATCTTTTACAAACTAAAATTACTATGTAAAGGTTTACGTATTTTGTTGCAACTATATCAACTTTTTGTTTTCATGTTTTTAATGTTTCATTTAACTCTTTTTGTTTTTGTTTTTAATTATTTTAATTTAAATATTATTAGTATTAAATTTTTCTTTTAATAGTTTGTGTGTTAATCAAATTCTATAATTCAGTACATGTTTAAGGGGGTTTATACTTCTTTGCAATCGTTTAAACAAATTTATGAATTTACTTTACTAACGGCTTTTAAAAGATCGTGATTTGTTTTATCTAACGCACTCATCATACCAAGGTTACCACCGAGTCCACCACCGACACCGAGACCACCACCCATGCCAAGACCCAATTTCAAGTCATTTTGCCCCACAACGGAATGATGCAAATGGCCGGGATTGTGGGCGATTATTGAATGATGATCTTGTTGTTGTTGCTGATGCTGTTGTTGCTGCTGTTGTTGTTGCTGTTGTTGCTGCTGCTGTTGTTGCAATTTATTGTTATTATGTTGGGCGGATTTGATGGCTTCTTGGGCTTTCATTTTCTCTTGTTCTTCGCGATCACGACGAGCCTGAAAAATGCACAAAAATAAAAAAAACATTAAAGGGTTTGTTAATACTATCAAAATTTTACTATAAATGTTTGGCAAATGTTTAAATATTTTTTTTTTAATTTTAACTCAATTCTCAACACTTACTTGTTCATTTATCTCCTTAACAGCTCTTAATTCTTTTTTAAGTTTCATGCGACGATTTTGGAACCAAATCTTTATTTGTCTCTCTGTCAAACACAATGCATGTGCAATTTCAATTCTTCGTCTCCTTGTTAAGTAATGATTGAAATGGAATTCTTTCTCCAATTCTAATGTCTGGAAACGTGTATATGTCTGACGACCACGTCGACGAGGGCAACCATTAGGACCTGAAAGCAAAAAGTAAAACAAAATTTAATTAAATATTTCTTAATTTTTTTTTTTTTTTTTTTTTTTTGTTGTTTTCATCTTATAACAAAGAAATATGCAAATAATCTTATGTTAATTAGCAAAAAAATATAAAGACAAAAAACTTTAATAATAACTTGACATTTAAAACAATTTATAAGAGACAATATTTTTTCCTTTACACACTTGAGAAGTAAAAACTAAAATGACTCAAATGGTGTTATCTTTAAGACAAGAAAAGGGGTAACTTTAACTTAATTTTTACAAATTATTGTTACCAAATCAATATGAAAAAACCTGAATTAATTTAAATTATTCTAATGAATGACGCACAATTTTGTTTAATTTTATTTTCTTGTTTCTTTCTAACTATCATAAAAACTACAGGATATTTTTAACAAATTTTTAAAATTCCGTTTTTTACAAAAAATCCAGGCAGAAGAATGTCTTTTTAATTTCCAATCTCAGCTGTCTTCCCATAGAGCATGAACACTTTTGTTTTTTGTTTGTAAATGAAATATTTTTTGTTTACTTTCTGCCGTTTTTGTCAGTTAACACAAGTGCTCTATGGGTTTTCTGCTAATTTTTGGCACCCATCCGTGCATTTTGTAGTTGGCGTAAGAAAAAAGGGTAAAAATTTGTTTTATTTTTTAAATGTTTTGTATGGAATTTTGTTGTTGAGTGTTGAGTGAATGCTGCTGGCTGGCTGAATGTTTAGCTAACTAACTGACTGACTGGTTGCAATTGATGGACTACATGCCGGGTTTAACACTGCTTGATATCGCGTCGGCTTTTACCAAAAAAAAAATAAAATAACACACACAGCAAATATTTTAGTTGCGCTTGTAAATTTTGCGATTATACAATATTTTTGTGCGTGCAAATTTCTTGTATACACGTTTTTTTTAGAAATTTTCTATGCTACCTGTACTAATTTTTTTAGTTGTAGTGCCTAAAGTTACGGGAAATTTTTATGATATTCTTTTTTACAATATATAGTTTCGAAACAATATTTAGGAAATCCTATATAAATTGTTATTGTAAATAAGTACGTTTAGTATTTTTTCAGTTATTAGCTGTTTTTGTTTATGGCACCCTTTAGATAGGTTTTGTAATTTTTTTTTTAGTTATCTGCTGAAAAAAAATACTTTTTATGATTTTTTATGGTTTTTGGAAAAAAATCAATTGTTTGCAGTTTTTGCATGGTGTTTTATTATTGTGTATTGTTGATGTTTGCGTAATATTTTCAAAATATTTTTGTTAAAGCGTAAATATCAATTTTTCAGTTGAAGCGAAGGTAAGTTAGTGATTAGTTTCGAGCTGCAAATTAATTTATCAAAGTAAAAAAATAAATAAATTTTCTGTGAAAATGCAGTTACAAGCAGGGCTGTCAGAAGTGGCGATTTTTCGCCAAAGGTGGATTTTTTGGTTATATACTAATCGATTGGCGAATTTAGTGGCGTATTTTAAGACTATTTTTGTTGGTTCGGAGAGAGTCCTAAAATCAACCTAGATGTTTATATAGGAGTTTGGAGGCCCGAACAATATATTAATCAAAAGTATTATTTAATAAAGCATTAAGTATTTTAAAACTATTTTTGTTGGTTCGGAGAGAGCCCTAAATCAAACTATATGTTTATATAGGATTTTGGAGGCCCAAACAATAAATATATTAATCAAAAGTATTATTTAATTAAACATAACCTCAAACGAGGCAACTAAACGAAATCCAAACAGGCATAACTTTAAAACAGTTATACGAAGTAATTGATTTAATTGGTGCGAGTGAGACGTAATGAGACATATGTAGGCCTCTTCAGGCCTGTTGTGCGCTCCTTTACCAGAGTCTTTAGTCGGAATCATACCCACGACCTCTGAACTGGCAGACTAGAACACTATCAACAAAAGTTCCGAAGACACCCGACTTTTATATTTGACTTGAAATTATTTTAAGGGTTAAAATTTGAATTGTGTATTTGTTTGCTATATACATACATATTTCTGAAAGTTCTGTCTCAGGTCAGCTTTAATAATTCTGTTGTTATGAATATTAACTATACATCATTTCATATTCATATATTGTATTAATGGTTTTTATGTTTACCATTTTTTAAATTGAATTTATCTTGTCAAGCAAACCAAAGAAGTAATCAAACTAATAAATCATTTGTATTGCTCTACATAATATTAATTACTATGCACTTCTCTTAATGGCCTTAAATGGGTGCGAAAGGGATACCAATACTGCATTAATGTTTGTCAACAACAAAAACAACTTCACCAAATAACAATTATGGCATCCAATATGGCTGCCGGACTACTACAGTTTTCCTACAGGTAGACATGTGCGCGAAAAAAGAAAATAAACAACAAAACAAATTCAAAACAATAACAAGAGTTTACTCACAATGCAGTTCAGCTCATTGAGTGAAATTGTTTACTTTTCGCGAGAACTCTCTCTCTCTGTGCTCACACTCAAAGTTGTGTGTGTTGAATTTACTAACACGTGGTGAATTTTAGTTTGTTTTTAATAAACGGAAACATTTGGTGTTGCCATTTACATACATATATGTATAGGGGGATTATGTGTGATTTTATTTGGTGAAATATTTTATTAAATTTAGTTTAAAAATAAATAATTAAGCTAAAATGTATCTTTTTTTACATTTCTTTTATAGTGCAAAACATTAATATAGATATTTAAGTTTATTTTTTATAACAACTAAATGCCAATTATGTTTAATTCTAATTAATATTTTGTTTACGTTTTTATATTCAATGTATGTTTGTGTAAAATCTCACGATTATACTTTACTTTGAAAACAAGGCAATAGTTAATTTAAATAAATAATTAAGGTTTTTTTCTAGCTGTTCTCCACATTTCTTTTAATTTGTGTTAATTGTTTATTTAACATTATTTATGACTTTTTATTATTGAAATAACATCAACAACAAAAAATGTATTTTTCAAAACCACAAAATACCAATTGAAATAGTACAAACAGCAATTATATTCGATTTAACAAATTTTTAAGAAACTGAGAAAAAAATATACAATGACTGACACAGACGTTCTGACTGTGCCGGTTGGATGGATGGATGTTCGATTGGTATTTTTGGGAGTTTCAAGAAGAAAAAAATGTTTAGATTTCGTTTAACATGCCATCCGGGAAGTACGATACTAAAATATAAACAAATCAATATAACAAAAATATAAAAAATAAACATACAAATATTTTTATATTGAAATAAATGGACGGACGGGCAGACAAAATATCTTATATATGAATGTATAAATGTAAAACATAAACGTATCGAAAATATTGTAGAGTTATGAAAGACAAACAATAACAACAAAGACTTATAAGAAGAAGAATAAAAACGATGTTTAAAGAATTTTAAAATCGCTGACAAATCAATTTTTTCGAATAAAACCAAAAATAAAACCCGAAATAAAAAGAATTTGTAGACAGCAACGAACAACAACAAATATGATTCACAATACAAAAAAGCCAAAAACACCAAAAATATGTATAAAATTAAAAAAAAAAGATTCATTCATTTATTCGTTCTTTTCTTTCATTGTGCTTAAACAAATGACAACTAATAAAATACCATACAATACATATTTTTGTATCTGTAGAATGAATTGTTTAAAGAAAATTGAATGTAGACATAATAAATGTTAGTTTTACGACTATTATTGTCATTTATTTGTATCATTTCTTTGAACTGTTAAGAGCAAAAATATGAAATGAAGAAAGCAGACACAAATACATGACAATTTATTCACCTAATACAGAGATTCTTAAATATTATTAATGATAATAATGTAGAAGATTATTATAAAGTAATAATTTTTTATTGTTTGCATTTGGTATTTTTTAAACAAACATTAGAGATTAAAAAAAAAAACATTATTGTTTGATAATGTTTGTTTTCTTTAATAAAAAATGGTTTAAGGAATATTTAGTTTATTTGTTATGAGAAGTTTTTTTCTGAATTCAAAACAAGTTATTGGAATTAAAAATTTAATCTTCACTAATTTATACATATTTGGAAAAATTAAAAATTGAAACCAAAAAACGGAAATACTTTGTTTTAACTTCAAATTTAAACTAATTAATGTTTAATATCTGTCTTATATTATCATTTTTGTATTTTTCACAAATATTAAAATTAACAAATTTCCAACTTTTACTTTTCACAAACGTTTAAGAACTTCTGGCATATAAAATTGGCTGATCAATTTTTGTAATACATATTTTTATATGATTGACCATACAAAAGACATATGATATAGTTAAATATAATTTTTGTTTTTTTTTTTTTTTTTTTTTTTTGCAAATTTTAAAATTCATAACAGATCACAATTTTTCGTTTCTAAAAGAAACGAGAGATACATACGTAGGTAAGGAGAGAAGAAAAGAAACAAAATTAAGTATAATAAAAAAATTGTTTATTATTTCATTAATGTAATTTATGTTATCGTGTGACTTTATAAATGTTAAAAATAATATAATTGTATTTTTTAATAATAATAATAATAAAAATAATTTTTTGAATTGCTTTTTTATGGGTTTTATGGCATCATAAGTAAAAAAGCAAAGCAACATTTTTATAAAGTGTTCAATGGTTTAAATGAATTTATTTTTGTAGTTGTCGACTGCTATTTTCTTTACTTTTGTTAAACAATTTGTCTTTATAAGTGATGGTGTTATTTCCGTTTTAATTTCCTCTATTAAAGTTTGAATTAACAAAAAAGTTTAAAAAGCCATTAAACATGGTATTAGCAATAGTTTGTTATTGTTGTTGATTAATTAATTATTTATTATAATATTAAAAATAGTTTCATTTTCAATACCCTTACTAATTATTAAGTCATTTTGTGTACATTTAAATATTTATTTGTTTTCGGGGTTGAGAGCTAGTAAATTATTTTTATAGCCTCTATAAATGTATTTTATTTAATTTTTTTATA